TGTTTTCATCGAGGGTGCCATCTGAAAGAACTACCCATCTTCATTCCTATTAGTGATAACTGGTACCCCCATCAACCCGATTCCAGAGTTCCTGCTCTGTCCAGCTCTTGGGAAGCCTCCCAGGAAGGCTGCGTAGGGCACAGATTAAGAGCATCCGCTGGCTGGGCGTGTTGGCTCAGTCCTGTAATCCTAGCACTTTGGGGGACCGAGGCAGGCAGAGCACCTGAGCCCCAGAGTTTGAGACCAGTCTGGCCAACATGGTGAAACCCCATCTGTACTAAAAATGCAAAAAAAATTAGCTGGGTATGGTGGCGCATGCCTGTAATCCCAGCTACTCGGGAGGCTGAGGCAGAAGAATCACTTGAACCTGGGAGGTGGAGGCTGCAGTGAACTGAGATCACACCACTGCACTCCAGCCTGGGTGACAGAGTGAGATGCTGTCTCAAAACAAAACGAAACAAAACAAAAAGCATTCGCTGCATTCAGAGCATCAGGTTTCTGTCCCAGTCCTGGCACTGCTACCTGGTGATGTTGGGGGAGCTGCTTCATCCCTCTGGGCCTCAGTTGGCCCAGATAATAGATGCTAATAACAACACCTATCGTGAGATTCAGTGACAGATTAAGCAAAAAGCGCTTCGAATCAGATACGTAGTCATTGCTCAGTGCACTGCAGGTATTATTGATATTTCTTCTTCTTCTTCTCAGGTGTGGGACGCGCCTGCACGTTGACACACTGTTCTCCAGCCTGGTCCTCAAAGTTGCAGGTTTAGATATTGTCAGTGCGCTGAGGCATTCCTTTCTGGCAAAGTCTATTGGGAAGTCCAGTTACCAGTAAACGGTTGCTTGATGAACATGGAAGTGGAGCTGGGGCTTGGGAGGGTGAGTAGCAGGAGCCTCATACGGCCTGGTGTGATGGGGCCTGGGGCTCCTCTTTCTATTAGGCCTGGCCCAGCGCTTCCAGCGTCTGGTCTGGTGGAGGAGCTCTGTTTTCTGCATGATGAAAGGGAGGCTGACCCAGGTACAACCTCTGCTGCCTGTCGCATCCACTGAAGCTGAGCCGGCTGCTCTGAGGGGCCAGAGTGGCCCCCTCCCTCCAGTGCCTCTTTGGGTGTCCTTTCAGATTCCTCTCTGTTAAACAGAAAGGTCTCCCCAGAGCAAGGAGGCCTCATGTTGGCTGTGTAGTAGCTCCCCACCCTCCTGAGAACTGCTTTGAACACACTAGGAGATGCCCTGAAGAGTGCAGCTCTAAGGCTCCATCCCCTTCCTGTCTACTCTGGCTCACGAGCAGACTTCCCACAGCTTACAGGACAATCCAAGCCCCTGACTTAAGCCCAGACAGTCTTGGGGGGTTGCACTTGGGGGATAACATTTGGGTGTTATCTAGAGATCAGTTCTCTAGGGTGGGGCTTCTTAAGCAAGGTAAACTGAGCTCACCCATTACTTAGTGGATTTTTTTCACTCCTAATTTATTTCTCTTTTGGGTTAGGAACACTTTCAAATTCTCCCTAAATGTGACTTTGTTTTCCGGTAAGCCAATCATATTTGTTAATAACAGTAGCTGCTATTTATTAATAGGGTACTAATTGGGCAGTTTTCATACATTATCTTTAATCCATACAACCCAATTGCAGTTTTACAGATGAGGAGACGGAAGCTCGGGGATATCAGTCATTGGCTTGATAGCAGTGTGCTTGTATTATTTTTGGCACTGCCTCAAGAGGATTAGAACTTTCTCTGCAGGTGAAATGATGTTTGCATTTACCTTTTGCTCTCTGACTTCCAAAACAGGCTCTAGAAATCCCTTTCAAGACCGTAGATGAGAAAACTAAACATTTTAATTTGCAGGAGCCCACTGTGAAAGGAAAGCTGATGTTTGTTTGTTTATGTGTTTGGGGTATGGGAAATCAAAGCCCTTTATGTGAATGGCTCAGAGTTTATCTGCATATTCAAATTTAGAAAGTGATGTCAGAGGGTAGGAGAGAACATCTGGACTCAGCCCAGGGAGTGGCAGCTGCCCTCTCTGAGGTTGTTGAGAGGAAGCTTGAGGAGAGAGGTCTGTGGAGAGGTGGGGACTGCATGGGAAGGTGGTGCTCTTGAGGACTAGAGGATACTAGCCTTTGCTTATGCCAGGGGAATGATGGAGTGCAGCTCACTTATACTGCCCTGTTTGGCAAACCCTCTTTCCCTGACCTCAACATATCCATCTTCCCACTCTGCCCATAAAAACATCCATAGGGTGGATCCTGGGTATCCAGATCTGCTGATGATGGGAAGGAGAACCACCTCCCGCATTGGTACTTCGGTAGCAGGATGCAGGAGACCCCGTTCTATGCTCCCTCTTCCCCTCAAAGCAATGCTCCATGGCTGGTGTCCCCAGACCCTGGACTGGTCCTTATTAGCCAGTTGACTGGACCTCAGAAGGGTTTTGAGCAGTTAAGGAAGTCATCCAGTGGCAACCATGGAAATAAACTCTTGCAGCAGAATGGTGATGGCTTGGAAGCAGATGATGCCTGCGTGAGAGATGATAAGTATCTGCATAGAGCAGTGGCCAAGGATGGATAGGAGAGATATTAAGGGGTGAAATCAATAGGACATGATTGACTGATGTGGGCTGAAATGTTAATGTCCTCACTTAGACAGCGACGCTGGCCTCAAATCTTGCCACTTTCTTCACAAACTTGTGCTCTAGCTGGTTCCCAAATGTTCTTGTTTTGTTGAGGTTCCATGCCTTTCAGTGTGCTGTGCTGGCCTCTGCCTGGAAGACCATTCTCTCACTCCAGAAATCTTGCATTTCTTTGTCTCTCCCACTAGAGAAGGAGCCCCTTGAGGGCAGGCACTGAATCTCTTCTCTGTGAATCCCAGCACCTGGCACAGAGCCTGGGGTGCCACAGGTATTTGTTGAACCAATCAATCAATTGAAAAAAAAAGGATGTGAGATGATGCAGAAGGAGGCGAAGAGAAAAGGGATGAAGACATCGGGCGTGCCGTCAGACCTTATTATAATCACTTCTCTCTCCGATGTTACTCATTAATCCTCATCGGAGCCAGGCAGGAGAGTGATCAGAAGAGCATCTGCCTTTTCTAGCTGCTGGAATTCGAACCAAAGAACATGGGAATGGTTCAGAGGATATTCTAATTTCCTGTCCCAAGAGTTCAGTAAGACTTGTGTTAGTAGAGGCCATATCTTCTGCAGACATTGTCGGGAGATGTGTAGTGGAGGCTCTGAGTCAAGAGAGGTAACAAGATAAGATTCTGTCTTTGCTTTGACTTTTTTCTGTTTCTCCCTTGCTACTTCCACACTTACGGATCCCTCAAGGTCCTCAGGAGACTAAAAGAGCAGAAGATAGGGCACGCATTAATTACAGAGTCTGTCTTGCAGTAAAATAGAAAATCTTGCATCTTAAGCCCTGATTGTCCTGGGCTGCTATATTTTTGTGGATTAAAATATATTTCTTAAAATAACTTAAAATGTTATTTTAAGAAGAGACTTGTTTTCTCTAATGTCCAAATGTTTGTTAAGATGGGGTGATGAGAGCATATGTTTCAGAGTTGGGAAGGTACTGCGGCTTCGTAGAGTGACCATGGGCAAGTTCCTTTAAAATTCCTCCCCAAAGCTGCTTCTCTGGCTCTGTCTACATAACTGCAGACTAGAAATCCACTACCCTACAATCTGCCTACAGCACCCGCGCCACGCAGGGACCTCATACACCCATCTCATACTTCTTTTAAGACAATTCCTATAATTAAGGTACTCTTGTCCTTGTCTTACAGGTGGGGCAGCCAAAGAGCTTGCCTCAGGTTGTATAACTAGCAAGTAGCTTGGGGTACAGGACCCCAGCCACCCCTTCCTCCATTCAGTCAAGTCGCTAGAGTGGTCACAGACTTTATCTTTTGTGTTTTGGTGGTGAACTGGAAAATACTCAGTTGGATCTGGAAAATACTCAGTTCTGGCTGTCCCCTATCCTAACCTCTATTTCTTCCTCTTAAAAAAAAGAGGAGTGGGCTTGGAATAGCTGGAGTTCCTGGGCCCCCACGGGATCCAGGTAGCTGGGGTTGGGAGTCTGCAGACTGCATCTAATATGCAAGAAGCTCTCCCCCAAACTGAGCTTTTGGCAAGGGAACAGCCACACAGGCCAAAGAAGACATCAGCTCGCGTGCTCTGGACTGGAAGGATGGCAAGGCAGCTGCTTAGACTGGCTACCTCACGCTGATCACAAGCTCCGATGGCCAATTATATATGTCTTTGATTAATAAAAAATGGGGCAATGAATGAATAGTTAATCAATGCAGTCTGCTGGGAAGGCTGTTTCAGAACCTGGGGGTGGGGGTGAGGCCGGGAGTCATCTAAGGGGTTTTCGGGAGCGAAAAGATGGGGCAGTCCTCCAGGCGGTGGTTTCTGAAAAGCCCTCAGTCCTGGTTCTTGGCTGCCTAATTCTGTGGTTGGGATGTTTTTGGCAGCTGTGGGAGTGTGAAACTGGGAGAGAGGGTTGAGGTGGTGAGCAAATAGGAAAAATATGTTCCCTGCCCACCCAGCGGTCAAGGCAAAATGCACAAATAGAGAGAGTGTGTGTGTGCCTATGCCCGCATGTGCTGTCTGCGTGTCCTCTGGGTGCTGTAAGTGGGTGAGTGGGTGACATTTTTCCTAGGTGGGCCTGAGCGTGTAACAGCATTCAACTAACTTGGTTAGGGGAGGCAGAGGCAAGGGGGCTGGGAGGCTGAAAGGCAGTGAGGAGGGAGGGAAAGACACCGCTGGGGTTATAGGGGATCCTAGAGGGAGAAGTTTCAAAAGGGAGAGGTAAAAAAAGGCGCGGGAGGCTGTGAGCAAGGAAAAAGAAGAAGGAAGTGATGGAGAATGGGAGGCCTGCCCCAGCCCCTTCCGGGAGGGCAGGCAGGGGCGGAGGCGAGCAGGGGACTGGGAGGGGCGGCGAGAGGCGCGAATGCGAACCTGGCCCGCGCGGAAAGGGTGCGGAGAGCCCCGGCGCGGAGCACGCGGGTAGGGCGAGGGGTCCCCTTTCGGGGGCCTTGGGGCTCCAAGCCCGGGCTGGCCCCTCGGGCTCCTCTGCGGGGAGGGCCGGCCGCAGGCTGGAGCAGGGTGCGGAGGCTGGCGGGGGAGCGGCTCCCCCAGGCGTTCCTGGTAGAAGTTGATGCGAGGAAGGGCAGCGGGGACCATGTTTGCGAGTCCTAGGCGAGGGTCATGGGAGCTGGGGTATTTCTGGCAGTAGAATGGCCTGCCTCGTGACTAAACTAGCCCTGTGATCTTGGGCAAGTTCCTGAAATCTGCCGGAGTTTTTGTTTCATTGTCAATAAACTGAAGATAACAACACCAAGTTGGCAGCGGGAGTTTGTGTCTTCTGTGTAGAGCCTCCCTGCCCCTGCACCTGGTTGAGTTGCTGTCATTATTTTAGTGGACGGTATTCAGAATTCCAGCGCAGGAGCCTCCCCTTCTCCATCTGCTGCCGGGGAGCTGTTGGGTAAGTCGTTTATCTCACCTGTGACTCCAGGTGGCAATTAAGATCTGCCTCTCTACTTACCACGTGGTTACTCAAATGCAGTGCCTAAGATAGTGTATTGGAGTATTTATTCCCCATATTTGCTGCCAGCAGCCATGATCACCCTGCCTCTTAATGCACCCCACAAATAACTCTAGTCCACCTTTGCCTTTCCCGCAGGCCTCCTCTTCCAGCAGCTTCTGTCTTTATTTTACAGGATCCAGAGAATCACCCGCTGATGGTTTTTGCCCAGGCCTGAAACAGAACCAGAGAGCTACGGGAAGGGAAGGGCTTGGCTTGCCAGAGGAATTTTCCAAGTGCTCAAACGCCAGGCTTACAGCGCCTGTGATCCGTCCAGGAGAACAAAGTGGGATTTGAAGATCCACTCCACCTCTGCTCATGGCGGGCCAGGGCCTGCCCCTGCACGTGGCCACACTGCTGACGGGGCTGCTGGAATGCCTGGGCTTTGCTGGCGTCCTCTTTGGCTGGCCTTCACTAGTGTTTGTCTTCAAGAATGAGGATTACTTTAAGGAGCTGTGTGGACAAGATGCTGGGCCGATTGGCAATGCCACAGGGCAGGCCGGTAAGGGCAGGGATGACTTTTCTAAGGAAGTTAAGTCTGGCTCCCAGGTGGTGGCAAGGAGCAGGAAGGACTCTGCCCCCGGCCCACCCCTCTTTCTATGATGAGAGGAAGGGTCAGCAGCCCTCAGCCCACTTGGTCTGGGAAGTGCCTGGAAGGGAGGCACCAGCTCCTGAGGGGTAATTAGGGGCAGCCACATTTCAACTGAGCTGAAGGGACAAGCTTCTGACTGACGAGCTGTCCGAGGTGGAGGGGAGCCCAGGCTGTGTGCTCATTTGGCAGGAAGGCTGGGATGCATGGGAGACCTTTTTTCTCCTCCAGACTGCAAAGCCCAGGATGAGAGGTTCTCACTCATCTTCACCCTGGCGTCCTTCATGAACAACTTCATGACATTCCCCACTGGCTACATCTTTGACCGGTTCAAGACCACCGTGGCACGCCTCATAGCCATGTAAGTCCGAAAGGCCCAGCCCAGGCAAAGGTGGGCGATAGGAATCCTTCAGGCCGCAGCCTAGCTTGGAGTGAAATCCAGGTCAGACGGCCCGGCCGCCCTGCCAGGCACCACACCTGCAGCTCGCTCCCAGCGGCTGTTAGGAACAGCCCCAGGCAGCGGGAATTTGTAGACTCCCCACTTCACCACAGCCCCGCTTCCATTTCCTTACCTCTTTCCCTGCTCCGCCTGAATGTGGCTTCCCTATCACGTGCTGAACTGAGCCGGAGGCCAGGCTGACTTCCTGTAAGGGCTGGCTTAGAGCCAGGTTACAAAACTAGCAAAAACTAAAATTGCTCTTCTCTTTCTTCACCCCAAGGATCCATGTCCTCATCCCCTGCACAGCCTCACATCCAGGTTGCTCAGCTTCATCCTCATCCTCCTCACCGCCTCCCTCCCCCATCACTCCCCAGGGGCTTAGCTAATAGGAAGTTTCCTTGGTATTGCCACTGGTGGAATTTCAGGTCCTTTCTGACTGGAGGGGAGGCAGTGGGGGTTTCCTGTGCAGATGAGTCAGAAGGTTCGGGAGGTGATCTCACACACACAGTGTGTTGCTGCATCCTAATCTTATGCTCTGTGGGCAGCCTCAGCGATAATCAGCGCCCTGCTGGGGACTGATACAGCTCAGAGCAGGTGCTCCCAGGGAGGCACATGTGAGATCAGCTGTCAGAGAGAGGAACGGGAGGGCTAACTGGGCCTGCCTTTCTGGAAATAGCCAGAGAGTAAAGCCAGTCCCTTACATTTTAAGCCTTTGGATGCAGAATGACTGTATCTCAGTCCTTCTTGGTCCTTGGCTCCCTGCTACCTCCCCTTTCCTCCCCTTCCTTAGTCCCCTCCCTCTTCTCGAGCCTTAGGACATTGCTTTTTTTTTTTTGACTCCATGCCTTACAAGACCCCTAAATGCTAAGGGAGCCTTATAACCTTGGGACTGTAATCCTGAAATCCTAGCACTCTGAGCTAGTCAGTCCAATCATTTCTTTTTATAGAAAAGGCTCCTGAGGCCCAGAGAAGGACAGCGCCTTGCCCAAGGTCACAGAGTGAGGAGGAGTTAGAACTCAAGGTCTTGATTTGCAGACCAGGCACTAACCTCTTTCTCCAAGGGGTTGGGCTGTTGGGGCTTCCAGGTGGGAGGATCTTGGCTTTGCCCACTCTGTCCTGGCTAAGTCCCAAGCCAACCACGTCATCAGCTGAGCTCCTTGTCCAAGGCTGCCTATGCTAGCGTTGGGCCTCAGAATGAGCAAAATGCACTGTCCATGAGGTCAGGACCACATCTCAATCTCATCGTGGCTTCTCACCTGGTTTTGAGCCTGGGGCTCAGAGGCATCAGTGCCCGTTGCATCCCAGGCTGAGGGTGCGGTCAAGTCCTACACTTGTGGGCTGGGTGAGCAGAATCATGTTTGTCTCCCAGGTTTCTCCTTTCTTGACAATATTCTCCTTTTCCTGTTCTGTGTTTCAGATTTTTCTACACCACCGCCACACTCATCATAGCCTTCACCTCTGCAGGTGAGTGCTGTCAGGTGGGTGGGAGGGATGCAAGCTCAGGGGCACCTGGTGGCTGGGGCAGGTGTGAGCAGAGAGCTATAGGCAAGACATACAGACCACGTGGTTATTCAGAGATCTGTAGCTTGAAAGAATCCTGGAAGGATCTTGAGTTATTGCTGGTCTGTGAAAACAGTTTAGTCTATTGAGAAAATGTGAAACGCAAGGACAATGGAGAGGGATTACTTTATAGAGTAGAATTTATTCAAAACTTTACATCTGGCAGGGCGCAGTGGCTCACTCCTGGAATCCCAGCACTTTGGAAGGCTGAGGTGGGTGGATCATCTGAGGTCAGGAGTTCGAGACCAGCCTGGCCAACATGGTGAAATCCCTTCTCTACTAAAAAAAAAAAATACAAAAATTAGCTGGGCGGTGGTGCACGCCTGTAATCCCAGCTACTCAGGAGGATGAGGCAGGAGAATTGCTTGAACCCAGGAGGCAGAGGTTGCAGTAAGCCGAGATCACACCACTGCACTCCAGCCTGGGTGACAAAGTGAGACTCTATCAACAAACAAACCCTAAAAAACAAAACAACAACAAAAAACTTTTACATCTTGTATGTGTTAAAATGTTCTCTTTCTTTTTAATGAAATGATTATATGAATGACCATTTTGAAAATATCCTTACTTAGCAGAGTAAAAGTTGACAACCCTATTGTACTCAAAATCTTTTTTCCAAATTTTACCAGTCTGTAAGTCTGGAATTCCAATCTGGTTTGTTCTCCACCACCCTTCCACCCATTACACAGAGGAGAAACTGAGGTCACAAAGGGACCCTTTGCAAAGACACGTCCATGGCCACAGAGAAAGCGAGTGGGAGGTGGGCCTGGTGTGCAGGCCTCCTGATCCCTGACTCTTCTTTCTCTCATTGCCTTGGTTATGGTGGCCACGAGATGCCTCCCGAGGTTCCTCCCGAGTGTCAGACCTGTGGCTCAATTTTTGGTTTAGGAAAGAAGAGTACATTACTCTTGTGTGTGTAAGCTATGCTAAAGCCCAACAGCATCACAAGATTGTCTGCACTCATGCTGGGCAAACACAGAGACTGAGTGTCTTTGTCCACACAGATCTCATGAGATGGCCTGGCACCTCAAACCAATTATTTCAAACCACTCTCCTTATCAAACCAGCATCATCTACTCTAAAAGCCTGTAAATGATTTTTAAGCGACTGAATGTGGAGGTGGTGGCTGGGTCATATTTGACTCGTGCTTGCAAATTGTCTGAGCAACAATCTTCCTCTTCCTCCATAGTAGAGGGCTTTTCGGTTTTGAAAAAAGCATTGAGCCCACAAGGACTGTATTGTGAAAGAAGCCTCCAACCTTTAGCAATAGGAGAGATGTACATTTTATAACGACAGAAATTGAATGTTAAATTGTGTGAATACTCTAAAATTGGCTCTTGGCAGTGCTTCTTAAGGTATAGCACGGTAGTTAAGAGGATGTTAGGGGCACATGCATACTACATCAACTACACTAACAAACATCAAATCACCTGGCAGAACAGCTATTCCCTTTTTATGTCTCTTTCAGTCCTTCTGATTTCATGAAAGAATGTCTTGATGTGGGGCCAGTGTGATTTTAGCACTGATGGAAAGAGCAGGTCTTAGGCTTTGAACATTCTAAGGGCAAATGCATCCAGCTACAATTGAATAACATTGTTTTCCTTTCATTGCATTTATTTTTACAGTTACTTCCTATTCATGACAAGCAATGCCAGGGTTTTCATCTACAGTAGTGAAATAAAGTGTCCTTTAAAAATAGACTTTTTTTTTTGGATAAAAGTGAGTCAACTTAGAACATTTTAGCAAATAATAGGACAGGCATAGGTTATGGCCAGAATAATGGTGGGCACAAGTCTGGTTTGGGGAGGAATAATTTGTCAAGGGTTCCCCTCCCCCAGCTCTTGAGCTTTTCTGCTGTGGTCTCACACTTACCAGACCTGTTATAACCATTTGTTTGCGTGTCAGTCTCTTTAAGCGCAAGGAGTATCTTTTATTCATCTTGCATTTCCGGTGCCAAGCACAATGCCTGGCACCAAGGAAGTGCTCAGAGTTTAGTGAACAAAGAAAAGACTATGGTCCTTTTCTCACTCAGTTCTCGTAGCACCTGAGGCAGGAAGAGCAGGAACTGTTGTTCCCATTAAACAGATAAGATGACTGAGGCTCAAGGCCAATGCCATGAATTAGGGGATGGGCTCAAGGGTTGAGCCTGGCACCTGAGTCCAGGGTCCTCTTTTCCTAGAGTGTCAAGGATGAAAAGGAGAGGCAGCTTGTGGTTTACTGAGGGAAGAAAGAGGTGGCTTCACTTAGAGCTCTGCCTCTGTCTGTAAACTTCCTGGCCTGCCACAGACTGAGGACCCACTTTGGTTGGGAAGAAGGTGGCTCAGGAGACTTCCACAGAGATATCTGGGGAAACCTTGGCCAGTATCCTAAAAACCCTTGAAGGACGCTGGAATGCTGGCTCGAACTGGGGCCTGGACACTAGGATTGTTGGGAATTTGGAGCAGGTGGGAGCAGAGGTTGGGGCTCCATGTTTGGGTTGCACTATGACGCCATCCTGCTTCTGACTTTGATGGTCCAGGCTCCGCTGTGCTGCTCTTCCTGGCCATGCCAATGCTCACCATTGGGGGAATCCTGTTTCTCATCACCAACCTGCAGGTGGGAGTCTTCCCTAATCCCAGGCACTTGGCAGGGTGGAGGGAAGGTGGAGGGAAGGTGGAGGGAAGGTAAGACCCTTTTCTATAATTGGCTGCCTCAGATAGGGTTGGCTCAAGCTGAGGTGGAAGCTCTAGCGGTAGAAGGTGAGTTTGGGTATAAGGAGGGCCTGCCACATGCTGGGTCCTCAGGAAATATCTGTTTCATGAATAAATACGTGATCCAGGCTGCTCCTATCATCCCCAGATTGGGAACCTATTTGGCCAACACCGTTCGACCATCATCACTCTCTACAATGGAGCATTTGACTCTTCCTCGGCAGTCTTCCTTATTATTAAGGTAAATATAGCAACAGCCTACATTCATTGAGCACTTGTATATGCCAGACGCTTGTCTTGTGAACCTTGCATTATTTCTCTCCATCAACTCGGTGAGGTATGTACTATGTTGCCCCCATTTTACAGACGAAGCATTTGAGTCTCCAAGGTTAAAAAGCTTTTAACAATAAAGGTTCTGCCGCTAGTAGCCATGATGCTGGAACTCAAACCCAGGCTTGTTGGTTCTAGAGCCTGAGCTTGTAACCGCTAAGCCCCTTCTTCAGCCTTGCCCAAGCTTTTGTGGCAGTGGTCATGATGTGCTTGGGCCAATGTTGGGCAGAGGCTGGGGGCCCTTCAGAGTGGGGTGTTTGCTGCTGTGAGCTTCTAATTTGGACAAGAAGGTGGCAAGTGGCTAGTGGGTACAGCAGGGGCAGACACGGAGGCTTGTCCAGCTGTCCCAATGGCTGATGTTGAGGTTTCAGGGGATGAACTGTTGCCAAGGCTATTAGAGGTCAATCAACAACCATTCTGCCTTATTCATTGCGAATGGTTTTATCTGGGCAGTGACCTGCTTAGCCCAGGGGATGAATCCTGATTGATCAAAGCCAACCACGGCAATCCGTTTACCCCTTGCTAGTGATGGATGGAGGTCAGCATAGGATCCAGTCCTTTTTAATGAGATAAAGGGGGTGTATATATTAGAAGACTCAAGGGGCTTTTCTTCCCTGATGGAGGGTGAAAGCAGAGTACAAATGAAGTCTTCCTCATTGAATGTTGCGGTGTGAGGATGTGATAGCTGGGGCTGTGGCAACCATGCTTCAATTATGAGACAACAAGCTGGAGTACTAAAGCCGGCACGCCACAGATGGCTGAGTGAAAGGAAGGGGAGTGTGGATCTCAAGCCGCCCAACCTGGGACTTCTCTCTGGGCTTAGTGTTAGGCCAGAGGCAGTTGGCATTCCATGTCGGTTATGGGGGCAGAGAAGAGGATCTCTGGCAGTCACTACCCAGACATGAGTCTAGCTTAGTCCTATAAGCTTTGGAGGTTTGGAGAGTCATACAGAGACTGAGTCCCTGGGGCACTCAAGCCTTTCTACTCCTGGCACGAGAGCCACTTTCCAGGCTCTTCCTCCTTCCCCTGGGTATGCCTCCCTTTCTTTCCTCTTTTTTTTTTTTTTTGAGATGGAGTCTCACTTTGTCTCCCAGGCTGGAGTGCATTGGTGGGATCTTGGCTCACTGCAGCCTCTGCCTAGTGGGCTCAAGCAATTCTCCTGCCTCAGCCTCCTGAGTCACTGGGACCATAGGCTTGCCACCACACTTGGCTTATTTTTGTATTTTTAGTAGAGATGGGGTTTCGCCATGTTGGCCAGGCTGGTCTTGAACTCTTGACCTCAAGTAATCCGCCTTCCTTGACCTCCCAAAGTGCTGAAATTACAGGCATGAACCACCATGCCCTACCTCTCTCCTGTCTGTCTAGAGTTGGAAGGAGAAAGGCAGCAGGAGTGGGAATTCTTAGTTTAATCTGACTTTGCTGCTGCTTACTCTGACAATTCATTGAGCAATTTACTGCACCTCTCTGGACCTCAATGTCACTCTCTGTAAAATGGGAGGAGGTTGGGCTAGGTCAGTGGTTTCAAACTGAGCATCGAGGAACTTAGAGATTCTCTTTGATGTCATGCCAGTCACCAAGGAGAATAAAGAGGGAGATGACTGGCAAGCTCCCCATTGATGTGTTTTGTAAGTTGAATTTTTGTGTAAAATTTTCTTTGAACAAAAGGCCTTTGCTGTTGTTGGGGGAAAAAAGGCACTGGCTCCACCGGCTGTGGGGAAGGGTCATATGAGGACTCCTCTACTGCCGGGTGTGTCTTGGAGTGGCGGCATATGTGTATCAGGTATCCCTAATCAGCTTCCAGGATGGTAGATGATGGCTTGTACTCGGACTCCTTAGAAAACAGGATTCCAGCTCCTGCCTCTTCTGCTGATGTTTTTGTGTGTGATAAAACATGCATAACATAAATATTACTATCTTAACCTTTTTTTTTTTTTTTTTTGAGACAGAGTCTTGCTCTGTTGCCCAGGCTGGAGTGCGGTGGCAGGATCTTGGCTCACTGCAACCTCTGCCTCCTGGCTTCAAGCGATTCTTCTGCCTCAACCAGCCGAGTAGCTGGGATTACAGGTGCGTGCCACCATGCACTGCTAATTTTTGTATTTTCAGTAGAGATGGGGTTTCACCATGTTGGCCAGGCTGGTGTGGAACTCCTGGCCTTAAGTGATCTGCCTGCCTCAGCCTCCCAAAGTACTGGGATTACAGGCATGTAATCATGTAATCATGTAATCATACCCTTTCACCTCAGCCTCCCGAGTAGCTGGAATTACAGGCATGCACCACCACGCCCAGCTAATTTATCTATTTATTTTTAGTAGAGATGAGGTCTTGCTGTTACCCAGGCTGGTCTCAAGCTCCTGGACTCAAGCAATCCTCCTGTCTTGGTCTTCTGAAGCACTAGAATTACAGGCAGGAACCACTGAGCTCAGCCCTGCATAGTGCTCTTAAAGTTCATCCATGTTGTAGTGTATGTCAATTTCTTTCCTTTTTATTTTATTTTTTTTGGAGACAAGGTCATGCTTCATTGTCCAGGCTGGGGTGCAGTGGCCCAGTGATGGCTCACTGTAGCCTCAAACTTCTGGGCTCAAGTAATCCTACCACTCAGCCTCCTGAGTAGCTGGGACTACAGGTATGTGCCACCACACCCAGTAGAGAAGGGGTGATGTTGTCCAGGCTGGTCTTGAACTGGGCTCGAGTGGTCCTCCTGCCTCCCAAAGTGCTGGGATTATAGGTGTGAGCCAGCATGGTGGCCTCCTTCCTTTTTAAAGGCGGAATAATATTCCACTGTGTGTATAGATCACATTATGTTTAGCTGTTCATCTGCTGATGGACCTTTAGGTTGCTTCCATCCTTTGGCTATTGCGAATAGTGCTGCTGTGAACATGGGCGTGACACTGACTTTTTCCTCCTCCTTCTGCAGCTTCTTTATGAAAAGGGCATCAGCCTCAGGGCCTCCTTCATCTTCCTCTCTGTCTGCAGTACCTGGCATGTAGCACGCACTTTCCTCCTGATGCCCCGGGGGCACATCCCATACCCACTGCCCCCCAACTACAGCTACGGGTAAGGACTATCTGGCGATTGTGGGCCAGAGCCCCTCATTGGCCCTCGGGTGGGATGGACAGGGCAAAGCAAACCTGTCACAGGAGAGGAGGAGGACTGGAGCAGTGCATCTGTTAGCTATTGCTGCATAACAAACGATCTCAAAACTCAGCAGCCTAAAACGTTCAGCATTTATCATTTTTCACAAGTCTGTGGGTAGCTGGCTAGTTCTACCGATCAGGGTCAGATGTAGATGATTTTGACAGGGCTCATTCAGGCATCTGATCATTTGGAGGGTTACAAGGGGGCTGACTATGCTAGGATGGCCTCATTCACATAGGTTTGGAGTGACAGGGATGCCTGGGTCACGTGGCTGTCATCCTCCAGCAAGCCAGCGTGGGCTCATTCACACCGTGATTTCAGGGTTCTGAAAGAGCGCAGAAATGCACAAGTGTTCTTGAGGTTTAGGCTTGGAATTGGCACAACCACTTCTGCTGCATTCTTTTGGCTGAAGCAGTTCACAAGGCTGGCCCAGATTCAGGGCATGGGGAAATAGAGCTGCAAAGTCTCATTCAAATGGGGGTAAATACAGAGGAGGTGAAAACATGTGATCATTTTTGCAGTCAGTTGCCACAAGGAGTAGAGGAAGGGTGTTCCTTTGCTGCTCACTTACTATTTGTCAGACCCCATGTGCTCTCTGATTTCATCCTCACAATAATCCTCTCAGATATTCTTATCTCCATTTTCTAAATGAGAAAAATGAGGCTCAGAAGGGTTAAATCTGAGCCATCTTTCTGTTGCTAGGAAGAGGCAGAGCTGGGATTTGAACCCTGGCCTGCCCTGCTCTTTTCATACTTCCAGTGGTTCCCAAACTTTGCTGCATATTAGAGTCACTAGATTCACATAGAGATCTTAGAAAAGGAAGCCTGACTCTCACCTCCAGACATACTGATTTAATTGGTCTGGTCTGCAGCCTGGGCGTCAGGGTGGCTAAAAGGTGATTCCAAAGTGCGGTGAAATGTGGGATTCACTATACTGTTCCCTCCAGTCTGAGTCTCAGGTTCAGCTCACAGTCCTTGGCCTTGCTGGTGGGGCTTTTGTTTCCATAGCCTGTGCTCTGGGAATGGCACCATGAAGGAAGAGAAGGAAACAGCTGAGCATGAAAACAGGGAGCTACAGTCCAAGGAGGTCGTTTCAGCAAAGGAAGGTGAGCCCTGCTGACTAATCTCTCTCTCCTCCAGACCTGAGTCTCTCCTTGTGCCTTTCCTGGCCCCTTACCTCCAGAGCTCCCCCAGAGGCCCAGAATCAGGAAAGGCAGGACAGAGAAAGCACCTTAGGCATCTTTCCAACCCCCTCACTTAATGGAGGGTCCAGAGAGGGGCCGGGCTTTTGTCTCTTTTCTGTCCCTCTTTTCTCTCTTTCACATCCCATCACTTTCCCCCGCTTCAAGCCTGCCTTCCATGGGTTGCCTTCCCTTCCCCCAACTCCTCGGTTCTGCCCTCTTCTGTGATGCCATTGCACTAAGTCTGGTGCAATGTCCCCATTTCTCCAGGTCTCCTGGGTCTGTCCTCTCTTATTGTCCCAACTCTATCACTGCTTCCTTTCCTTCCTCTCTGTTCTGAGTCTTTGATTACACACATCACAAACCGCAGCTAGCTACAGTAGAAATAAGAACGGGGTGGGAGAGGAGATGGGAGATGCAGGTTGAAGGACATGAAGGAGCAGATGAGCAGGATGAACAGGCCTAGAGATCTAATGCACAGCATGAAGACTGTAGGTCATCAAATTGCATTGCGTCTGGGACTTTGCTAAACAAGTAGATTTTAACTGCTCTTGCCACAAAACAGGTAGAAATGTGAGATGATGGATATGTTAATTTGCTTAACTATAGTAACCATCTTAGTAGCTATATGTATCCTATGACCTCATGTTGTATATCTTAAATATACACAATAAAATTGATTTTTTTTTTTTTTACCATCTGACAGTTGGATCCAAAACACATATTTATTTATTTGTTTTAAAGAAAGAAGAATAGGGTTCTGGGAAGCTTCCAAAATCAAGGGAGGAAATTGAACTTGCCAGGATGTAGGACCTATTTTAGATTAGGTCCGTCCTAATCTAAACTTATGGCCGGTCTGCCTTGTTAGGAGGAACCATCTCATTGGTTAACCTTGAGAGAGGAACAGAACCCTGAATTCACGGTGCCATCTGATCATGAAGATTAGGGTAGAGGAAGATTCCCCAAGGAAACTTAGGATACTGGTACCAAAAGAAAGGGAGGCACTGAGGAGCAGGTTAGAACAGAGTGTCCACACTCATCCTCGTCTTCCTTCTGACTTTCTCCCCTCCTTGTCATTCCTTTCACCTTTCTGGCTGAGAAAGATCAGGAAGGTATTACTGCAAGAAGTGTCATTGACCAGGCTGTGAGAGACAGATCGGATTTCAATAGAGAAGAACACAGAGGGTCATCCAAGGTGGTAGGGCCAGCATGACAAAGCAGGGAGGTGGGGATGTGTGAGTCTGAGGCAGGCGCAGAGCATGCCGGGTGAGTTATGGGAGCCAAGGGTAGAAGGTGGGCCTGGACCTGAAATGTTCCACTGAAGCGTCCACCCTCCCCATCCTACCTGTCCACTTTCCTCGCAATTCACGCCCAGATCCTCCTCTCCCCGTTAGAGACCCCAGGGAAAGGGCAGAAGCAGGAACCCCGCTCTTTCTGGAGCTACGCTTTGTCTCGGCGCTTTGCCTGGCACCTGGTGTGGCTGTCTGTGATACAGTTGTGGCACTACCTCTTCATTGGCACTCTCAACTCCTTGCTGACCAACATGGCCGGTGGGGACGTGGCACGAGGTATGTGGTGGGGCTGGGAGGTAGCCCATCTGCACATCCCAGCTGGGAACACAGAGCCTCCCAGCAGGGCTGTACACACCAGAGGCGGGTCTGATGGTGTGGGGAGGAGGGACGTGCAGACAGGAGCAAAGTGGGAGAGTCCCTGCCTGGAAGGGAGTTTTGGAAACTTCTCATCAACCAACCTCTCTCTTCCCTCTGTAGTCAGCACCTACACAAATGCCTTTGCCTTCACTCAGTTCGGAGTGCTGTGTGCCCCCTGGAATGGCCTGCTCATGGACCGGCTTAAACGGAAGTACCAGAAGGAAGCAAGAAAGACAGGTGAGATGCGGGGGAGGGCAGGGCTGGTCAGGGAACCAGGAAGGGAGGTCTTCATTTACCCCATGACGTCTTCTCTCTCTCTTTCTCTCTTTCTTTTTTTTTTTTTTGAGATAGAGTCTCACTCTGTTGCCCAGGTTGGAGTGCAGTGGTGTGATCTTGGATCACTGCAGGCTGAGCCTCCTGGGTTCAAGAGATTCCCCTGTCTCAGCTTCCCGAGTAGCTGGGATTACAGGTGTGTGCCACCATCCCCTACTAATTTTTGTCTTTTTAGTAGAGATGGGGTTTCACCATGTCAGGCTGGTCTTGAACTTCTGACCTCAGGTGATCTGCCCACCTCAGCCTCCCAAAGTGCTGGGATTACAGGCATGAAGCACCATGCCCAGTCTTCTCTTGTGTTCTTAACCCTGTCTGGTTACACTCATTGATTCATTAAAACACTAGTCACTGAGTGACAGTTATGTGTCAGCCATGGTGCCAGACACCAGGAATTCAACAGCAGACAAGACAGATGTGTTCTTTTTCTCAAGGTGTTCTCAGTCTAGAAGGTGGAGAAAGGCAGATAGGCAGTTACAATCCATGACGCAAGCCCACAGGGGGTTATGGGGGCACAAAGAAGGGCACATAATCTATTCTGGGTGAGGATGGGATTGGTGCCAGGGAAGGCTTCCTGGAGGAGGTGGCATCTAAACCAAGACCTGAAGGATGAGTAAGAAGGGAGGAGATGAAGAAGTGGGGCCTTGGAGAGTGGCCCAGGAGCACAGTGGGGTCAAAATGGTGAAAGACAGAGTGAAACACGAAGGAATCTGGGCAGGTGAATCAGGCTGGCTAGGACACAGAGCACTGGGGAATCTTAGGGAAGTGGCTGGAGAGAGAGAGGTAAGAAGGGGTCAGGCTGTTTACCACATCAGGGAGTTTTGGCCTGGTCCTTGGACATGGTTGGAGGAGTAGAGATATGCTGAGGTATTTTAACTGCTGGGTCAGGAGGGACAAAAGTAGACCAACATTTTACATACTTATTTCATCTATCCCTTCCCCCACCCCAGGCACCTGCTTCTCCCACACCTGCTAGAGTTTTCAAAGCAAATCTGAGACATCGTATCATTTCATCTGTAAATATTTCTCTATACCCATAAATGTTTCTCTAACATATAAGGCCTCTTTTACTTAAACATCCCCATAAAATCATGATCACACCTAAAAAAAACAATAATTTCTCGTATCACCTACTGTGCAGTCACTGTTCAAATTCCTCCAATCATTTCAAATACATCTTTTTACATTTGGTTTGTTCAAATTAGGGTTGCTGTGTCTTCTATAGCTTTTAAAATCTAGAAGAGTCCTCCCCCCTTTTCTTATTTATTTGTTGAAGAAACGGGGCCATTTCCCCATATTTTGGGTTTGGCATTGTTTTAATGTGTTATTTAAAAGTATTCCTTTCCTTGGGTATTTCCTGTAAACAGCGGGATTAGAAGCTTGGAGGAAACACAGTTTAATTGTTTGGGTTTTTTTTTTTGGCATGAATAACTCAGAGGTAGAGCTGTGGGTTTCCTCTGGTCTCCCATCAGCGGGCCCTGGTGTCTGTTGTCTTGTTGCTGTGTTAAGATTGATCAACTGGTTTAGACATTGCCAGTCTGATCCATCCACTGTCAAGTTTCCCCATATACTTAGTGATTTTAGCAGCCATTAATGATCAATGCCTAGGCCCATTAGAATTACAAAAGGATGATTTTCTGTTCTTTTCTTTCTTCTTGTTTGAGACAGAGTCTCACTCTGTTGCCCAGGCTGGAGTGCAGTGGCACAATCTTGGCCTACTGCAAACTCCGCCTTCCAGGTTCAAGCGATTCTCCTGCCTCCGCCTCCCGAGTAGCTGGCTTTACAGGCACCCACCACCTGGCTAACTGTTGTATATTTAATAGAGATGGGGTTTCACCATGTTGGCCAGGCTGGTCTCAAACTCCTGACCTCAGGTGATCTACCTGCCTCGGCCTCCCAAAGTGCTGAGATTACAGCCACTGTTCCTGGCCAAAAGGATGATTTTCTATTTCTATCTTCTGCTTTTAATCACTAGAGTTCTTCTAGAAAGAAAAACATTCTTTACTATTTTGTTACCTAGAAATAAATGCTTGGTTTACATGTTTATTTACCAGTCCGAAATAATGAATTGGTGCCCTAGTGACCTCCAGACATGGCTACTAATTTTTTTAAATAAAATTTCATTTTAAAATATATTTGACATGTTTCAATCTGTTCTGTCATGATTCTTCTTGATGCTCAAATTGTCTCACCTTTGGCCATTGAAAACTTTACCAACCCAGAATCTGTGTCTTTTAGACAAAATCACATTATTTCTAGACAGTATCTTTACTTTCTAGCACAATTAAATGTTCAGGTCCATTTCACTAGGTGTCTTTCCTGCCCCAGACCTGCAATCGTCATTTTTTCCCAACTAACCCTGGGTTTCTTTCATTGGAAATGGTATTTAGAGGCTACAGTCTGGATGCCGAGGTTTCTTATTGCTCCTGTGTTGTCACTGCTTTTGTGCTTTGCATAGAGTTAACACGTATATAATTTTTGATAAGAAAAATATCATAAATACTTAATACTGATATTTTTATTCAAATTTTTATTTCCTTGATTTTACATTTGCAGCCCTTTCTCTTCCTCTGATAATCCTGGTTCCTAACATATGCATATATACACGTACATACACATATATAGTATTTTAAATATAATTACTGGTTTTAGCAATATTGATGTTACTTGGTAACAGTACAATTGCTAAATACTGTTGCTACTTCTTTCTTTCCTTTTTTCTGTCCTTTCTTATTCCTTTCTCATCCTTAGGATATATCCCATGAGAGATGTACAGTCAAGTTGCCATATTTTCTTTTTTATTTTTAGGGATGAGGTCTCACTCTGTTGCCCAGGCTGTCGTACTGTGGTATGATCACGACTCACTGCAGCCTCAACCTCCTGGGCTCAAGTGATCCTCTCCCTTCAGCCTCCCAAGTAGCTTGGACTACAGGCGTGCGTTACCATGTCTGGCTAATTTAAATTTTTTTTTTTTTTTTTTGGTAGAGAAAGGGTCTGTGTTGCCCAGGCTAATGTTGAACTCCTGGGCTCAGACTTGCCCTGGCCTCCCAAAGTGTTGGGATTGTAGGTGTGAGCCACCACACTGGGCCAAATTACTGTATTTTAAGGATCACCAACTTGGTATAGAGTTATGTTCATTGGTTTCATTTTATTTTATTTTGTTTCTGATTTTTTAAGATTGTTTTACTTGTTTTCTCCCTATTACTATTTAATTGCATTTGTAAAACATTTACATATCAGACATTTACATTTTCCCAAAGCTAAAACTGTGAAACAAGATATATTCAAAGAAGTTTAGTTTCCCTCTCTGTTTCCTGTACCCCTTTTCTTCTTCTTTAGGTAACCATTTTTATGTTTTTTAATATAAACATTGCGTAGGTGTATATACACGTATTAGTCTGTTTTCATGCTGCTGCTAAAGACATATCTGAGACTGGGAAGAAAAAGAGGTTTAATTGGACTTACAGTTCCACATGGCTGGGGAGGCCTCAGAATCATGGCAGGAGGTGAAAGGCACTTCTTACATGGTGGTGGCGAGATAAAATGAGGAAGAATCAAAAACGGGAACCCCTGATAAACCCATCAGATCTCGTGAGCTTTATTCACTATCACAAGAATAGCGTGGGAAAGACTGACCCCCATGATTCAATTACCTCCCCCACCCAGGTCCCACCCATAATACGTGGGATTTCTGGGAGATGCAATTCAAGATGAGATTTGGGTGGGGACACAGCCAAACCATATCAATACATTTCCCTCTCTTTTAGATAAAAGGTAGTATACTGTACACACTATTCCGCAGGGGTTTTTGTTGTTGCTGTTGTTGTTGTTGTTTTTTGGTGTAGCTCTATCCTGAGGGTGCTCTGTAGCAGGGACCTCTCCTCACGCCTTTTAACCACTGCCTGGGTCTCCATTATATGGCTGCAACCTAGTTGCTGCAGCGTTCCCGTACTGACGGCTGTTTGGATTGTTTCCAGTCTTTTGCTATTACCAGTAGTGTTACAAAGAGGATCTGGCCACATGTTCAGGGCGGGGAGGGGCAGATGTGTGTAGCCTGTCAGGAGGGCATTGCAGTAATCCGTGACTGAGTTAATGGTGGTTTAAAGCTAGGACAAGTCAGTGGGGTTGCAGAGGAGTGGGCACATTTGAATGGTATGTAGGAGGTGAATGATCAGCATCATTGATGAATTTGAGGTGGGGCCTGTGGGGAAGGGATTCGAGGATGACTCCCAGGTTTCTGTTGGGTCAGCGAATGGATAGTGGCTCCTCCCCCTTTTCCAATCTTCCTTGGCCCTTCCCTGACTTCTGTTGGGTTGGCCTACAGAGAGCCTCTTTTTCCTCTCTGTTCACCCAGGTTCCTCCACCTTGGCAGTGGCTCTCTGCTCGACGGTGCCTTCGCTGGCCCTGACATCCCTGCTGTGCCTGGGCTTCGCCCTCTGTGCCTCAGTCCCCGTCCTCCCTCTCCAGTATCTCACCTTCATCCTGCAAGTGATCAGCCGCTCCTTCCTCTATGGGAGCAACGCGGCCTTCCTCACCATTGCGTAAGTGGCCTTGGGGCGGGCTCTTACGCAATGGGACACACTGGGGCAAAGAGAAGCTGGAGGTAAAGAAGTTGGGATGTGAGGCTGGGCCTGGAGGCAGTCAGGTGCGGGAGACTGGGTTTGGGGGCAGGTGTGGAGGGGGTGAGACCAGAGGCGGTGGGAAGGATAGAACATTCATGCACTTGAGCCTTTACATCTGCGGTGTCCTCGCCCTCTGTTTTCTACTTGGTGAACTTGTATTCATCCTCTGAGGCCCACTTCTGTTCCAGTTCTCCAGGGAAGAGATGGAAAAGTGTCTTCCCTTCTTTGTGTCCTTAGTACTGTAGTCTTACTTCCTTTGCTAGTACATGCATTGTCTGGCATGCTATCCATTTACGTGCCTGTCTTTTCTTCCCTGGTGTAGCCTGCATGAGGGTCCTCTCTGTTTGTCCAGGGCCCCGCATGTGCCTTCTCTGGGTTCTGTGGGTCAAATGTCTGAGCAGAGGTGAAGAGGGAAAGGCCAGACAGGTGTGGGTAGAGGGCAGGCCTAGGACAGGGGAGCTGGGAACAAGCAGCTGACAGAGGCCCCTGAAGCCAGGCTCCTGCTTGGAGGGAGGGTGCCTGAAGCTCACTGGAACTCCTCTGGTTTCTCTCCCCAGTTTCCCTTCGGAGCACTTTGGCAAGCTCTTTGGGCTGGTGATGGCCTTGTCGGCTGTGGTGTCTCTGCTCCAGTTCCCCATCTTCACGCTCATCAAAGGCCCCCTTCAGAATGACCCATTTTACGTGAGTACTGGGAGGATGGGCATCCCTGGCAGGAGGCCTTGGCCTGAGGCCTTGGCTGCCCCAAATCTGGCTGTGATGGCTTGGGTATGTAGCGTGGCGCAGCTTCCCAAAGAGTCTGTGTTATTCACATATTTGGGGCAAAAGTATTTTTGTGTGTGAGGAAACAGACATTCTGGACTAGGGTGGAAATTCTCACAAAACTTCAAGCAAAATCCTGAGACCTCAAAGGTGTTTCCTGCCTGTGGTGAGTGCGGGCCCACCCTGGCCTCTCCCCTAGGCCCACGCAGGGTTTCCACAGTTGGCCCCAGGGACAGGAGCTCTGTGCTTTCACCTCTGTGTCCTTACAGCTGGAGGGATGCTCTGAGGTCCTGCTCTAGGAGGTGGGCATGACTCTCCCGCTCTTTGCAGAAACTGAGGCTCAAAGAGGTTACTTACGTGTTCAGAGGCACTGGCTAAGGAGCAAAAGTCTTTCAACTTTGAATTCTGTATTTTGACCACTGCACAGCTCTTATTTGCCTCATTTTTTTTAAAAAAAGCAACAAATTGTAGAATAGGAGTTTAAATCCATCACTTGGAGAAAAGAAAGACTACATGTTTTTTGTTTTTGTTTTGGGGACAGGGTCTTGCTTTGTCACCCAGGCTGGAGTGCAGTGGCACAATCTCGGCTCACTGCAGCCTCAATCTCCTGGGCTCAAGTGATCCTCTTATCTCAGCCTCCTGAGTAGCTGACACTGCCGGCATGTGCCACCATGCCCAGCTTTTTATTTTATTTTATTTTATTTTTTATTTTTTTGATAGACACTGGGGTTTCGCTATGTTGCCTGGGCTTGTTTTGAATTCCTGGCCTCAAGCGATCCACCCGCCTCTGCCTTCCAAATTGCCGTGATTACAGGCGTCAACCACTGTGCATGGCCAAAACACTAAACTTGAAATCTGAGGCAAATGACTTGATTGTGACATCAGATGACCAAGTAATCAGATGTATATTCTAGCTGGTGCCTCTACCAGCTTCACATGTGACCGTGAACATGACATTGAATGCTCGCTGGGCCTCTGTTTCTTTACCTGTGAAATGGGCTTAATATTCCTCCCCTTCCCCACCCCGTAGTGCAGAATGAAAAGTAACTGAAAATCCTTCCTCCAGGGCACCATAGTGTCTGAGTGAAAAGTAGAATATAAACTCGGTAGACTTCTGGTCTCTTCGTTGGTCATGGAATGGACCAGTGCTTGCTTCATTGAGCAACAGTTCTGTTGTTCAGAATTCCTGGATTTCACCTCGCTTCTGCTCTCCCTGCAGGTAAATGTGATGTTCATGCTTGCCATTCTTCTGACATTCGTCCACCCCTTTCTGGTATACCGGGAATGCCGCACTTGGAAAGAAACTCCCTCTGCAATTGCATAGTTCAGAAGCCCTCCCTTTTCAGCCCTGAGGATGGTTTTGTTCATCTTTCTCCACCTTTGAGGACCTCGTGTCCCAAAAGACTGCCTATCCCAGCAAACACCACACACACACACACACACACACACACACACACACACACACACACACACACGCAAAGACATATTTAACTGTTAACAAGGACGCTTGAGCAGCAAGAAAAGAATCTCAGTTGCCAAGCAGATTGATATTGCACAGACTCAAAGCAAAGGCATGTGGAGCTTCTTTATTTCAAAACAGGAGTGTCTCCTTGCACTTAGCCTTGGTGACTCCAGGGGAGATGACATGGGGGAGGAAGTATGTTACCTACTTCTTTATGCCTGTTTGGCTCTGAAGCCCATGTGTGCCTGGATCCTCTGCCACGGGTTAAATTTTCAGGTGAAGAGTGAGGTTGTCCTGGCCTCAGCTATACTTCCCAGCTCTCCCTCAAGAGTGCAGCCTTGGCTACAGAACTCACAGCTCTGGAAAAAAGAGGGGCAGACAGGGTTCCCTGGGCCCAGTCTCAGCCCGGCTACTGATGCTGGATGACCTTGGCCTGACCCTGGTCTGGTCTCAGAATCACTTTTCCCATCTGTAAAATTGAGATGAGTTTTGGCGCTGAAGGTTCTTGCTGGAGCAGATGTCCTAGATGGTTTTAGGGACAGTGACAGAGTCAGGCCACTGCAAGGGCCATGGGAGCCAGCTGACCTGCTTGACCGAAGGATTTCTGACAAACTGTCTTTGGGGATGTTTTCCTCTTCAAGAAGGGATATAAGTTATTTACTTTGGGCATGTAAAAGAAAATTTCTCTGGGGAATAATTTTATAGAAAAATAAAGCTGTGTCTAAGGCAACTACTGTTTGCATCTCTCTAGGCTTTGGGGCTGGGGTGTGTGTGTGTGTGTGTGTGTGTGTGTGTGTGTATATGTGTGTGTATGTGTGTGTTTCTGAGGAGGCCCTACCCTGGCATGAGAAGAGTGTAGGAAATCTGGCTACACATCCTTGTGTGGCAGCTGGAGCCAGAGGTGGGGCGAGAACCCTGTCTATGATTCACCCCGCTGGTCCTGGCACATGGGCCCAGAGACTTCCTCCTCCAGCAACCCCTCTGCTTCCTCTTCCTCTCCACATCCTTAACCTTCAGCAGAACCCTACCCCTCACTCCACATTCCCAGCTAGAGCACTGGATGGAATCAGAAAGTCCTAGTTTGAGTTTCAACTCTGCCCCTCAGCAGCTGGGCAAGCCCCTTAACCAGTCTGAGACACTAGTTCCCCACTTGCAAAGTACAGGTAATCATTTTTATCTCTGACGGTGATTGTGAGAGTGTAAAGCCATTTCGACTGCCTAGCACGTGGTGGGAGCACATGAGAGTTTGCTCCTGTGTTTACTCATGACCCTCGGGGAGGACGGAGGCAAAGAGGGAGAAGTTGAGGGTGCAGGAGGAGAGATGGCAGGTGGGTGGGATGGGAGAATCTGGGGCACACCAGCTGTCTCATTCCCACCTTGTTAGCAGAGGGATTAGGGAAGAACGGTGGGAGGCGCAAGGATGGGGGTGGAAGGCAGGGGGCTGGCAGGCAGGTTCATCCATCCATTCATTCAGTAAATGTTTATCAAGGACCTGCCACGTGTCAGGCCCTGTCCTGGGTTCTGGGGCTATAAAGATGCAGAAGGGTCTGAAGCCCAGCTCTTCCTTCTTCCTGTAGGCATCGGGGTATACTTTCCAGGGGCCCAAGAGCCTGGGTCTGAGGGTGGACACCAGAGTTCTAGTGGTGTCTATGAGCAGCATCTAAATCTAATGGATGAATTTGGTCTTGTTACCCTGCTCAAAAGCTTTCAGCAGCTCCCCACTGCCCACAGGACAAAAACCCAGATGCTAGCCTGACATTCAAGGCTGTCACTAGTGTGATCTCAACCTCTCCCCTGCCCTCTTTACCTCCTACCAACAGAGGGGCAGAACCCATCCCCGTGGACCAAGATTCCCGGTCTCTGGGTCTGTGTGTGCACCAGTTCCTCTGTGTGGGCGGCTCACCCTGCCTCAGCTTGTGAAATCCATCTGGTCTGCTGGGATCCTGCTCAAAATGTCATCTTCTCCAAAAATCATTACTCAGGCTTTCCAGCATGTCTGAGTCCCTGGCACTTGGTCACACCCTTCCTGGTGACTGGCATCTGCCTCCACATCATGACCCTCCCACCCCTTGCTTGGGCAGCAAACTCCAGGAGGCAAGGTCTGGTCTCACCTGGCTCTAATTAATCTGTGCTTACCATCCACATGGTGTCAGCTAATTCTTGTTGAATGAATGATCGCTGAATGAGTGGATTCTTGTTTTGGCCTCAGAACCAATTAGGAGCCAGAAAAAACACATGGGGGTAGGGGAGGTGCAGTGTGGTGCAGTGGAAAAAAACCCTTCTGGAAATCTCAGCTCTGTCACTTACTTTATCAGCTCTGTGACTTTGGATGGACAACTTCTTTGTCAGTATGGTGGGAGAAATAGACATGCCTCTCTGGGCTGTTGTAAGGATTACAAATTCGGTCGAATGCTCGGCACCTGGTAGGTTGAACAGATCACAGCTAGCATTCCAGATGATATATTAAAACAGAACAAAGATGCCTGATGTCCATCAGTTGGTGAACGGACAAAGGAAATGTACCGTGTTTGGGATATTATTTGGCAATCAAGAAAAGTACTGACAGGCGCTACAACATGGATGAATCTTGAAAACATCAGACTAAGTGAAAGAAGGCCAAACACAAGAAACTGCTAATGATTCCGTTTAAATATGAAATGTCGGGCCAGGGTGCAGTGGCTCATGCCTGTAATCACAGCACTTTGGGATGCCAAGGTGAGCAGATCACTTGAGGCCAGGAGTTTGAGACCAGCCCAGCCAACATGGTGAAACCCTGTCTCTACTTAAAATTAGCCGAACATAGTGGCATGCACCGGTAATCCCAGCTACTTGGTTGGCTGAGGCACAAGAACTGCTTGAGCCTGGGAGGTGGAGGTTGCAGTGAGCCAAGATCGTGCCACTGCACTCCAGCCTGGGTGACAGAGTGAGG